CTGATACAAAAATAATACACTACATCACCACAGTTTTACCTGTTGATAGCATAAAATTCTCTGTCAAATTCAAGTTGAAAACAGTTGTTTTATGCAGGGTTTGCTGGGGTTTGTGTACTGCATACATGTTGCTAGCAAAATATATCAAAACCTTGACAATGAATAGCATTTCTCAAAACTTAAAACTACCAAGTCGTATCTTAGCTATTATAAATTGTCATAGCTGCCCCTGAAGTCAGCAGTGCTGTGCCAATACACCTAGGCTGTAGGACTGGTCCACAGTCATTTGCTGTCACCTAGTGAAGGTATCATCCTGTGTTGCTTTGTTTTTAATCTTATGCCAAGGATTTTCTCTTGCTACGGTAGAAAGGATTTTTTAAATATACTACTAAATAGATATTGTCATTTAAAATGTCTGCAATACCTTTTCAAAGCAGCGGGTGGCACTTGCAGAGCAACAATATTCTGTGGTTCAGCTTCTTTCACAACACTTGCAGTGGTTTCTTGCTTTGTCCTTGTCGTTTTGGACAAATGGGAGTTCATAGGATGTAGCATTCAGATCAAGTTCACGCTGACAGGACTGAGTCATTTTGTCTGCCTGAAGTCTGTCCTGTCAACAGCAGCAGCGAAGGGTGCCAGCACTTGTGGATGAAACACTACCTGCAGATTTCCTAATTCTGTGATTACAAGCACATCTGTGTAAATAAACTCAAAGGAATGTGGGAACCAAGACATGAGCTTTATTTATGGTTTCGTAGGAGCATATGTTTTCCATCTAAAACCTTTTCATCCAGGAAATATAATTAGTAATTTGCTGACCTGTCATAGCTGTTCCTTACAGATTAAAGTCACCTGCAGGTGTTCTTTAAAATGTGTTGCTGAAAACGTATTTAACGGTAATCAGATGCTGTTAGGTGATTTCAGGACAATGTCTTTATGTTAAAAAATAATGCTCTATAGCAGAAAGCTATATGGCACTGTTATTTCTGCACTGAGTATACTTACAGGCTGCATAAAGAAGTAAATAAATAAATAATGGCTAATAAAGATACACTGAGGGTGTCCTCACAGTACATGACAATCTGTAATAAAAAACCCAGCAGGCTAGACATATATACCCTAAAATAACCTCAGTAGAGCATACTGTACTTATTCAATTCCACATCATCTGGTCGAGTAATGTCTTTTGTACATTAACACTGCTAATAATTTCCTTTGCAACATTCAGGAACTCGGCAGGTATCACAACTTTTAATTGCCAGCCTCCTTCTACACCAGCATGTGGCATCTAGACGTTATTAAACAAAATACTGATCATCACCCCCATTTTCTGATTGTACAGTTCCATTGCATTTGCCTGATATGCAATGCAAATTTGGAAAATTAAATGGGAAGTAGTTTGGTTTATTCATCTAGCATAAAAATAAGGACACATTTTAAAAATCTATAGTAATGTTTGATTTTCTTCAACATGCATATTGACATATGCGTGTTGCTGTTTGACTGGCTGCTGACTTCTTTAAATATGAGAAATAGATCAATCGTGTATGTCTAAAAATATCTTGTATTGCTTCTTCTGGATATTTTAAATTTAAGATAAATTCACCAGGGTTCTGCTCAAGCGAGGACTCCTAAGTCCTAAAAAGCAGCGAGGACCATCATCTTCAAAAGCCATAATCCTTAGAAGTGCCTGGGTTGTATTACCAATTCCGTTTTGGACCACTGAGATCCCTAGGCAGAACAGTATAGGATCTTGTTCATGCTTATGTGTTCCTGGACTAAAGAACTGGATACCTGTCTCCAATCTAAATTCTCTCACAATCAGTGGCAGACAGGGTGGTAACAAACCTCCAAAACTTCACTTAAGCCTCAGTCCATTGGGTATGCTTAGACCATGGTCAATGCCCAAGGACATACTGCCTCATGGCAGTGTTAGGTTGATGGCTGGACTTGACAATCTTAAGGATCTTTTCCAACCTGAATGATTCTATGACTCTAGACCCACTGAGGTGCAAGTTTCACAGCTAGTCCATCTGAAAAAAAAAAAAAGGCTGGAAAAGTAAATGTAGTCTTTGCACAAATAAACTGGTGCAACACCCTGTGTTCTGATCCGTTTCCCCATTCCCATGACTTCTTGGGCATTTACAACCCCTAACTTTCTGTGATTCTGTGATTTATTTGTTTAAGCATCACTGAATAAAATTCATGAACAGCTTTGGAAAAGGAACTAGAACCCAGTCTTCTCTCTCCCATCTCGGTGGCTCCAGACATGGGCTCCTTCCTACTGCTTCTCTTCATCTCTCTGGCTCCATGGATGTTGCACCTCTGGCTGCAGTGGCCAAATACCAGAGTGCAGCTCTGTCCTTGCAAATCTCCAGCAGGTGACTAGGATGCTCATTGAAGGCATCAAAAAAAGGGGGTCAAACCATTTCCAGCTGAGGCATGCAAGGGATTTACCAGTATGCTTTTATGCAAAACATACGCCACTGCCTCCTTCTTTGTTAGTCTTGCTACCTAGAGGGAGGATTCAGCAGCCCTGATAGACGAACATGCCAGATGTAAGTAGCCCGCAGCCTTGACCTGCTAGCAGCTTCCCTTGAGATGTTCTTCTTCCTTGCTGGTACTACTAGATGGTTTAACACTTGGCTTGGGGAAGGGCTGAATGTATCAGTACAAGCATCC